AATAAATAGCGAAGTGAATATTCAATTTAAGATAAGAAAATATATGATATAATTTTTCTAGAAATTTATTCTAGTCGATTTTTTTAATAAGTAGAGTTACTTTTTATTTCTCTTAGATTTTATTATTTTTTTCTTTAAATGTTTAAATATTTATTATTGTTTTTTATCAGTTTTGTAATTTTGTAATTTTTGATTTCAATGTTCAAAAATAATAATAGTTAAAAAGTAATTATATTATAAAGAATTTATTATTTTATATAAAAATTATAAAAATTTGTTATGACTTCTTCTTAATCAAATATAAATTAGATCATTATAAGTATTTCATTTTAAAAATATAATTTCAAATAAAAATAAAAAAAAAATCTATAAAATATAAATTTTTATAGTATATTATTTTCAATGATTTTAAAAGATTATGCAATTTAAAAGATATTATAATAAAAAAAAAATAATTTTTTAGTGCGTTAGAAAAATATAATAAATTTAGTAAATATTTAATAATATCAATTATATTATTTAATTTTTGTTATTATTGCTAAATAACTATTGCTATATAATAAAAAAACTGCAATTTTTTAATAATAATTTGTTAGAAATTCTATATTTTCTATTTAATCTTTTTTTAATTCTTTAATAAATTACTAACTAAATTTTTCTTATAATAAATAATTTTAGTATCTATAACTGAATTTTTTAAATGATATTACATTGAGATGACCTAATTTATTTGAAATAATGTGCAATAAGTTAAAAAAAAATATTGCCAAATGTTAGTTTCGAGAACTTACAAAAGAACTTAATGCAATCGATAGATATACTTATTATAACATTAATGGATAACGTAAGTCATAGGACAAGTTCTTTATATAATAACCTGTACAATAGGAAAGTTCTAAATTAAAGTGACAGGATTTAATACAAGACCATATTCCAATATAAACCAAAGACCATATTCATAGTATTAATATATAAGTTTAGTTTTTTAGATTAAAACTAGGAGATTAATAAGATAAAATATATTTTATTCGATCGAGTTTTTAGATTATTTTTATTTCTATCATTAAAATTTCTTTAAAATATATGAATTTTCATATAAAATCATATGATCAAAATAAAATTTATTCTTTAGAATAGTTATAAATTTATGTAAATAATTTTTTATTAATCTGAAAAATCTAATGATATTGTATTTGAATATTGAAACTGTTTTCATAGGATCGCAGTAGATCGCATGTTAACATAAATTGTTCGTTAGCATATAGTGTCCCCTGAAAATGAAAGAATAAAATTCATTATATGTAAGCATTTTTGTTGAATAATGTTAATTGTCATAGAATTATTCGAAATTGTGAAATTTATTAATGGATCATTAATATTGTAATATGTACGATAATTTTATCGAAAAAATGGATTTGTTTGTCTTATTGATTTTTCTTGGTTAGATTATACTCACAATTTCGGCATAGTTGAGAACTTAGCCAATGCAATGGTAATTGCTTTTATTTTCGAATTATCTTGTTTTACTTATTCTTTTATTTATCTTGATTCTTTTTTTACTTTTCTTTCATTGTTACAATCGATATTGATGAGACAACAGCTTTTATTAAAATAAAAAACTATTGTGTTATAAATAATGATCACATGACACATATATACATTGCAATATATATTTTATTATATATATA